CGAGTTAGTACGCAATGACAATGCGAAATCCACAGGAAAGCACAACCGGTTTTTCGCGGAAAAATAAGAAAAATATAGAGGGAAGTGCACATCCACGGTGCAGGTGTACGAATAACTTGACAAGAGATGACGAGTGGCAAAACCCTCGAAAACGATCCTGTTCTGTCTGAGAAATTTCGTCCAATCAATCAAGTACGGTGTATGGAAAGTCGGTTCCGACCAATTGGGGAAATGAACGCAGATATCTGACTAGATCATCATCTCACATGTGATCAGAGGTCCACCGAAACCGCGTCACTATTTTCCCAGTCAAATCTCTATCTCGATCAATATTCTTCCGCGAAAATCGGTCTGCCTAATCTCAAAGGGTTTCACTTAACAGTAATTTAGTTGATACAGTTCTTCTCTGGCTGAAAACAGACCGGGGTTAGAAAAACAACTCAAAAAACGAGGTGTCTGGGGAAGAAAGAGTTAGTAGGCAAAACCCAATCGGTAGGAAAACAGAACGGAATTGTGAATCGATTATTCACACTTACCGGCATATAACCACTGGTTTAGGCAACAGCGCACCGCTCGTGTAGAGTGCCTGGAACAATCCGCGACGATGCACACGCCGCGTGACTTCACGAATGAGTACGGGTGCCATTCGCTTAGAACGGAGCTTTTTGTGAACACAGAGAAAATTGATCTCCACCAATCGTTTTGATCTGTGTTGGAATAAACGGGATGGAAATTCGGCAAAAGGGATCAACGAAATTGTAATCGTGGTGAACGGAGAGACAGATGGATGGTGATGACTTTCATGAACGTTATCCACGTCTATGCATGCAGCATGTCATATGATGATTAACTTACACTGGATAATTTCAAAATCTAAGCGCACGCAACCATACATTAAACTCCCCACGGAACGAACGTACCGTTTGATGGCGCGGGAGAAAACGGTTGTGCCTAACAATATCAACATCAAAATGTTTGACAGCTTTAGGCGTTAAATCGATGGATATATCGGCGGTTCATTGATCCTAATCATGTATGATAAAGATGAACCAAAGCACTTCGCTTCGATATCGCTTTCTGATGGTATTTAACTATTCGTTCATTGCAGCGTAGATAGCGGTGTTCAAACACCTAAAGTCCGCGTTCATTTTTCAACAGTGAACATTGTCTTTGTAACATGTACCAGCGCTGCAGCACACACTCTGTTCAGTTCAGTATGTAGAACCATTACCACGCAT